GAGGACCTCAGTAATGAGAGGAGAATGTGTAGCGCTGAGCTAATACATATATATGGTAATAGTGTCGGGGCTAATGCTAAAGCTAATAGGCTAAGCTGAGGTTCTTCATCCATGAAGCAGCTCTGTTGTCCTCCATCTATATTTTCAGTTCCAGGCTGAGTCATTTCTACCTTCTCCTCTCTGTCAACGCTCTCTGGTTTCATTTAAAAGAGTCGATCATCAGATATTGTCCAAGATTGACCTTCAGGGTGGATATAGCTCGCTAGCAGCCTCGCACCGAGGACCTATCCATGTCATCATTTACCCAGAATGCTTTGTGTGTAAATAAAATGGCCCTGTCCATGTAATATATTTTTAAAATTTAGTTTAAAAATGATAAAAACTAAACAGCCTACAGTATTTTTGCAGTCTTTATTTTACTGTTAAAATAAATGTTTATCAAATAAAGTCTAAAGTTACAACTAATCATGAATCCCTTTAAATCGAGTCAGCTGATTAACTTTTGCAGTTTTCCCACTTCAAAATGACCACCACAGCTAGTAGGTTACAAGAAACACAAAAATGCCCATAGATTGGTCAGATGAACACACGTTGAGCTAAAATTTGGTGTGGTTGTAACTGATAGTCACCCTCAACACATTCTCTGAGCAATAATAAATTGAGTAAGATCCTTGTTTAAAACTGGGGCATTAAATCATCTGTGACTTTCAACTTTTGTAATAAAGTTAAATGCATTTGTGCAAAGATAACATGAATAACTGCAAAAATAAGTTGACGCTGCTGAGAAGAACAGTTGTGGTATTTGTGTGTGAAGTAACAGGAAGTGATGTCAAAGGGGAATGTCTGCATGTGAACAGAGCAGTGCTACAATGGCCGTCAATACAGACTGTATCTGATGTTTCTTGAGACTTTTTTGAGTCACTATGAAGAGTCAGAGCTCAAATATTGTTTCAATAAACAAAGAGGGAGTTTACTTGCTTAAAGAGTTCCCCTTTGATGTCACTTCCTGTTTCATTTTGGCTGAGCCAAGTACAAAAGAAAATAAGCCAGTTATTTGACWAAATGGGCAAAATCGTGTGTTTTATGCCAAGTTTCCTAAATATAAAGATGTTTTCTTTGACTCTTTGTCTTTGAAGGAGGTGCATGTCACACTTTAAGTTTTTGCATAAATCATTAATCAATTGATATATTTTAATGAAACTCTTAGAAAGTTGTCGGTGGTTTTACATCTGCAGCTGATTAACTTCTGGAGTTTCCCCATCAGAGCTAATCATTGTTAGCAACCTTTAAAATGGCTATAATTCAAATACAGAAAAATAGTTGCAGTAGCTGAGATTCATTCGCGTTGTCTGAGTGCGAACAGACATCGTTGTTTAAAACTCTGACACTAAGGGAATGCTAGTTTTATAGTATTTTTTATTTAATGCTGTGCAAGCCACTTGATGAAAACATCAGATCTTTATATTTTATGATAAAATAACTCAAATACTCCACACTTTTGATTGAAGTCAGTGCTGGAAATCCCCAGAGGAACTCCCTTCAAATGTTGGTTTATTGCATCTCGTGCCCATTAGGATCAGTCATGTTTGGCCTCTCTGCTGGATTTGGTTTTTCATTGTAGTTTCACTGATGGATTTATTCATGAAGAAATGTTGGTTTTATTAGTTGGAACCAGAAAAGAGTTACTACTTATTTTCATTCACAACGTCGGAATAGACAAAGGAAGGACCCAGACTGTATATTAAGCCTTCTGCAGCTGTAACTCGTTAATAAGTGCTTGAATGTTAACACGTCTTGTGCAGAAAATAAACAGAAAGTTACACATCAGTCAATCAAACATGGAAGCTTTAAATAAAATACTAAAATTTTATAGAAATAGACTTAAAATATAATTATTTCAAGTGATCTTCATGCAGCGTATTCTTCAATAGGGCCACTTGAGCGTCTTTGAGCCGATGTTGTGTCTCCACTCAGCACCTTTTCCTCGTTTAATCAGTTCCTCCAACGAACAAGCTGATGAATCAGGCTAAACATACTAATGAGTTAGTAATGTCTAAAATAAAGAACGAGAATAAAAAGCTTACAGCTGCTATGAAGTCATGACTCTGCTCAGTATCAACCCCTCTTTGATCTAAGTACTTCTAGTACATTGCAGCTGAAATGAAATAGTTTGGTTCTCATATCTCCCACATCGAGACGTTTTTTATTCGTTTGTTTTTTTGGGCGTGTTTGCTTCTTTTGGGCTTCACTTCAGCTGTTATTGCTGAAACATTAAGTTCTGTTTTTAAATTTTGATCAAATTGAATGATTTCCTGGTTTCCATTCTAAACTGTCTTAAAGTTGTTGTTTTTCTGATGTATTTACTGTAAATGTTCTTTGATATCTGTGGTTACGTCTGTGTGCTGCTTCCATTCTTGCACAGGTTTCTCTTGAACAAGACCTTTTAAATCTCAACGAGCTCTACCTGGTTAAGCAAAGGTGAGTGTAATTGTTTATGGAAAACAATTACTCAAGTAATTAATAAATTAATAATGATAATAATTAATAACAACAAAGTATTTGTCACTTTGTTGCTTTATTTCACTGCAGCATTCAGAGCAGTTCAGACATTTGTGATTTAATCTAAACTTTTGAAATGAAAATAGGCAGATTTGGATCAGTTTTCCAATAATAACAATAATATATTTATTTGTATAGTTTTTAAACCTGGACCTTGTCCTGGCAATTTTCTGTCAGAAAAGAGCTGCGGGTTAAAAAAAAAAAAAMCATAACTGAAAAATTAACCCGTAACCCATAACTGAAAAATTGTCACTATGAGGATGTTGTGGTTTGAAGCATTTCCCACAGATGACCAACAGGTGTGGAGGGGAATGTAGCTCTCATTGAGATCTGCTGAGAAATGGCTCCATAGCCCCGGAAATGTGAGAACTTGTTAATCCCACTTAAAGTTGTGTTTTACACACAACAGCAGAGAAACAGCATGGATCCATTTGCACCCCCTCGTCATGCTGTGGGCTTATTTAACCTTCATCAGCATCACGCCTGTTTTCATTCTGCAAACAGGTTTCTTCCTGATTTCTTTCTAATTTATTATATGGACAAAAAGCCAAAGAATGAAAAGTGTCTTTGTCAAAATCTACAGTGGGGTCTTACTTTGTAGGGCTGAAGTTTTATTCTCTGACGTCATACAAAAAAAAATGTGTTTTTTTAGTACACAAGATACACGCAGTAGTCATTATTAAGTTTATGACCATGATTCAGCTGCAAACGAGCTCAAATTTTGAGGTGGCACATGAGAATGTTTATAAGGGACAATGTACTTAAGATTTAATGAAGGACCTAATTTTTTCTTTTAATCAGATAGCTCAGAGGCAGAGGGAAGCTTTGATTAGTCGTGTCTGTTGTACTTATTAAAATGTCTGCTGCTATAAACAGATTCATTTAAAAAWAACTGTCAGACTGTTCCCATTGTTCTTTGATTTATGAGCTTTGGTCATGGCTTTGCATGTTAATTTCTCTACATAAAAAGAATGTGACAAATGATGAATAATAAAATGAAATAAATCCAATATAAATAATTAGGATGAGCGTTTTGACTCAGGCGGCATTAACACCTTAATCCCAGAAAACGGTGCCTGATTAAAAATGTGGTGTTAAATCGGATTATTGTGTTAGTCTGCATTTATTTATTCCTGCTAAGAGTAATCATTGGACCGAAATATACACCTGGAGTCAACCCAATTCAAGATGGCTGACAGCTTTAACAGTGGTGATGCCTGCAGAACTTGTTTGTGTGGTCTTGCAGCAACCTGTTTTTCCTCATGCAATTAGTCTCACAAACTTTAAAAAAAAGAAAGAAACATAAAAAACAAGAGAAGGGGTTCATGGGGGAAAAGGATGGGGCATTAATCACGGTTATGACAGAGTTCCATAGCCATAAAATCAAACTGCAAACAGCTGCTGGGACAGATATTAAAGTCTAATTTCCTGTCTGATGTTACAGCAGGGCCCTGGGGAAACTCCTGGCCAAATTCAAAACACGAAGCTCCACCATTATCCCTACATTTATAAAGTTTATTTATTTCAACATTTTTAGATAAAAAAACATGATGGAAAATGGGAATCTAAATTTAGAAATGTACAACATTAGTAGAACAAAAAGACAAGCTCTATTAAACTATAGAAAAAAGTTTTAACAATAAAATCATCAAATAGAGATGAAAGCACACACAGTCACATGAAGTTAAAACATCAGCCTTTCATGAAGTCACAGGTTCAAATAAATAAACCATTGCAACAATAAAGTTACAAAGTGATGCTTGGTTATTTTAATTAAAATAAATAGTTCTAAAGTAACTTTCATAAAAAATCATCAGAAAAAACATTATTTTGTTTTGAGTGTTGAAAAAGACAAATATGAGCAACAGTTTATTAAAAATGAAGCAGATAATGTTTTGATAATTGATCTAGTCATGACATCTTTTAATCATTTTCTTCCAAGAAAAGCTCAGCAACGTTAGTTTACAGCTGTTCCTACAGAGTTGTTCTGCTGAGATTTGCAGGTGAAAGGCGGCTGAGAGTTTTTAAATTTGTTTTGGTTATCTGCACCAAGGCTTTCATAGAGTTGGTGTTCCATAATTGTGCAGCGTGATACTTGATCTCATGTATCTGCAGGTTGCAAATGAAAAATGAACTTGAAACTATTATTATTATTTGAACAACTGGATTTTTTCTGTGTCCCAGAAGTGCTTTATGTCTTTTGGGAATGTCTGTTTTTTTACCCCCAGTTGCTATATATATTTTTCTAAACCAAATTTGCCTTCCATTTTACCTCAGAATGTCAGCTTTCAAGTAAATCCCGTGCAGATATTTGTTTATTTTATCTCGTGAGCATATTTGTTTAGTTTAATCTGTTTCTCAGGACACCATTCATTTAAAAACCCTGCTCATGCTGTATTTTGTTCAGGCAGCAGTTAGTCGCCAAAGTTGATGACGTCATCTAGGGCCCWTTAGAATCAACATGGCGTCCAACTCGGTTTTATTCGTTTGTTTGGGTAGGAAATGTTTTGAAAAATACCTTATAATGAGAATATTTAAAGCAATTATTGTATATCGAACGTATAACAAATTAGTAGCTCTTTATTGGTTTGCATGTTGTTTTATTTTATTTTATTTTTAGGAGCGTTAGCTTGAGTGCTTTAGCTAGCTAACTTTTGCCGGTGTTCTGTTGTGAACTTGATAACCCGGGCCACTTTCTTATAACAAGACGCACTTTAACTTTTGTTTGATTGAAATAAATAAGAGCTTTTTTTTTAAAAGGGTTACAAGTTGTTAGTTATGTTTATTCATTTCTTCAAAAACAACAACATAAATTCAACATACAACAAATGAAAGGTAGCAAAAGGAAGAAATTCTATATCTGCCCCTTTTTCT